CAATTCCTGACTGCTCCTTTCCTTCTCTTGAAAAATTCTAATATTCCTTTCTTCCCAAAGAGTCCAAATCAAGGCAGCACGAGCACATCTCCACATAATTCTCCCTATTGTTGTAAGCCAATAAAAGGTAGAATGGTTGAAGAGCATGTGAACTTCTGCTGGTAGACTCCAACTACTCCCAAACAACGAAAGATCCTCTCCTCTTCACAAAGAGGGTATGATCAGATTGAGTCTGTACATAGCCAAAGTTAACAAGGGCAGCCCTAAACCTTTCAAACCACGCCCTAGGGGACTGTTTAAGTGCATAAAGAGATTTCTTCAGCTTGTAGACTTTCCCTTCCATATCTGTTTCATTCATCCCTGGAGGTAGAGACATATAGACCTCCTCATGTAACTCTCCATTCAGAAATGCATTCTTTACATCCAGCTGGTAAAGTGGCCAATCTGAGTGTGCAGCCAGAGATAGCAAAACTCTCACAGAAGTCATCTTTGCAACAGGAGCAAGTCTCCATATAGTCAATCCCATATGTCTATGTATAACCTTTTGCAACCAGCCTGGCTTTGTACCTTTCAATGGTGCCGTTAGCATGATATTTGATGGCAAAAACCCACTTACAACCTACTGGTTCCTTCCCTTCAGGCAAATCAACCATTTCCCAAGTATCATTCTTATGCAGGGCATCAATTTCTATTCCTATAGCATCCCTCCATTCTGGAATATTAAGAGCTTCTAACACAGACCTAGGTATTGGGTTAGAAGTAATAGAAGAAAGATAGCCAAAATATGAAGGAGAAAACAAACTATAAGAAATGTGTTTGGAAATGCAGTGTGCAGTACACTTCCTTTTACCTTTTCTGATAGCAATAGGGGTATCAAGGTCTGGGAAGGATGGCTCCAAAGGGGCTGTATCAGTACCTGTTGTCTCTTTTGTGACTGGAAGTGTAGGAGGCTCATGTGGTGTAGAGGAAACAATCTGCTCACTTCTAGTTTGTTGCCGTTGGTACAGCTTGGGATAAAAAAGAGGACGAGGAGGTAATGGAGGAGGAATCAGAACATTGGAATGAGAATGAGATGATTGATCCTCCCTTGACTCATTTGAAGGAGGAAGATGCTCAAAAGAAGACTCAACTGGGACAGGAAGGGGGAGAGCAAACAACTGTGATAAATTCTCCCCCTTTGGACAATGCCTCTCTTGAGAAGGATCATAAAAAGAAGAAAGCTCATCAAAGGTGACATCCATTGAGACATACCGAGTTTCAGTCTTTGGATCAAAACAACAATAACCCTTTTGTGGGGGGAATAACCAAGGAAAATGCACTTGTGGGCTTTTGGTTCAAATTTATGTCTCCGGATACTTGGAATATGTACATAACAAGTGCAGCCAAAGACACGGAGTGGAATAGGAAAAAGGTCCTTGCTCGGATGAAGGGAAGTTTTTTCTAGATGGCATATGGTTGATACTTCTTGCAACTTCAACAATATGCCAGTTTTTTCTCTCAACAACTACATTCTGTTCTGTGGTCGTAAGTCCCAACACAGGAGCTTTGGTGAATAACCCCCAAATCAGTGAGATAACATGTTAGGTTTTTCTCAAAATATTCTTTTGCATTGTTGGATTTGAAAATTTTAATTTTGGTATCAAATTGGGTAGAACAAATTCATGGAATTGCCTCACAAGTTTGGGAACTTCATCACGGGACTTCATAAAAAATATCCAAGTATATCGTGAAAAATCATCAATGAGCAAGATAAAATATTTGTAGCCACCCATAGAGGGTAAGTGGTAAGGCCCCCACACATCAGAGTGCACAATATGGAATGTAAAATAAGATCTTTTATGACTCAAAGGGTAATTGCTTCTACAATGTTTTTTCAACTCACAAGACTCACAGTGAAGACTTGACAAACTAATTCCCTTAAATAGTTCTGGGAATAAATGACTCAATGAAGTAAAAGAAAGATGACCCAAACGAAAATGACATAACATGACACGACTGACAGACTTTGAAGATGTAGATCCAAATGCTACTTTCCTAGGTTGTCCATGGCCTTGTCTAGGAGTGTCCAACAGATATATTCCATTCGCCTTATGGCCACTCCCAATCACTTTCTGAGACACCACATCCTGAAAAACACAGTAGGAAGGAAAAAAGGTTACACAACAGTTCAAAGACTTAGTTAGGCTACTTACAGATAACAAATTTGTATTTAGTTTGGGTACATGAAGAGCAGAATGAAGTACCAAAGAGTTTGTAGCCTTGATGGTTCCCTTGCCAGAGATAGGAGCAAGAGAGATATTGGCTAGGGTGATTTTGTCACAGCTAGGAAGCAAATCATAAGAAATAAACAAGGTGGAAAGACTAGTCATATGATCAGAAGCACTAGAATCAATAATCCAAGGGATCCTACGATTACTTGAGATAGTTGCATGGTTGGCAGAAGCCCGTATACCTGAATGAGCAAATGTAGAAGAGGTTGAATTTCCTGGAGGGTTGGAAGAAGAGGCCACACCCTCTAGGTGACTGATCATCCTTCCAAACTTCCCATACTCTGCCTTCATAGTTGCTAACTGGTCACTAGCAGTCTTCTCTTCAGTTAGGCATCTGTCACTATCTGTCACTATCAGACTTCTTTTGAAACCGAAGAGGAAGAAGCTCAGGATGCAATTTCCAACACTTGTCTTTTGTGTGTTTTGGTTTCATACAGTACTCACAAATAATTTCTTTCTTCCTTGAGCCAATTGGATTTCCTGTAATTCCCTTAGGTTTCACCCCCATATTAGCAAAGTGATCATTTAGGCCAGCCCCTTGAACCTGGACTAGTCTCCTTCTTTCTTCATTGCTTACCAAGGCATAGGCTTGAGACAATGAAACACTATCCTTGGATAAGATATTCTGCTTTGTGATGTCATATTCAGGATTCAGCCCTGTCAAAAACTCAAACACCCTGTTTCTCTCAACAAGTTTCCTATAGGTCTCAGCATCATTAGTGCTTTCCCAGGCTACAGTTTCCATCAAGTCAATTTCTTTCCATAGAGATTACAGTATTGAGAAATAAACAGCCAAAGGTTTCTCCCCCTATCTTAAATTTTTCAGATCACTGCTCAGCTTGTATGCTCTGGCTACATTTAATTTCTGGGAATAGGTTTCAGCAACACTGTCCCATATTTCCTTTGCTGAATTCATCCACAAATAGTGTTGACTAATTTGAGGTTGCATTGAGTTCACTAACCATCCGATTACAATATAGTTTTCTTGCATCCATTTTTTCATAGGATGGATCATCTTCCGAGGGAGCCTTCTTGCTCCTGGAGATATAACCCCATTTGCTTCTACTACAGATATGAATTTTTACTGATTGTGACCATGTCAGATAGTTAGTTCCATCTAGCTTGACTGTGGTCATAGCCAGTAGAGAGTCAACAGAGACTCCCGTAACCTGTCTGGATTCAGCAACATGCTTGTTTTCAACTTCTGAAGGGTCCATCTTCTTAAAACACTTCAAAAAAAACCTCTAACCTGGGAGAAACAGAAAAAACTCAGCCGCACCTGGTAGACTTCACAGATCACCAAGCAACTTAAATTAATCTTCAAGATGAAGAACAAGAAGACTTTCAGTCACTGAGTGCCCAGGTCAAACTCCCTATGGGGCTTGCAGTCAGATTTCTCCAGTTAATTAGGGTTACGGGCAACACACTTGAAACTGTCAAGAGGACGTCCAAGACAGTCTCCTCTCCAGAAACCACGAACAAATGGGCTGAAAAAAGTTTCTCTAACTATTCAGTTCTCCATACACCCTGTATATGGGAAAGAAGAGGAGAAAAAGAGAAGAAGAGCCCGATCTGATACCAAGAAGGAAAATAGCCTTTTGAAATGAAAGGACTGTCCAAAATGTTGCAGAAAGTTGATTGAGAATAGCAGAAATCAGGTTCAGAGAGAGATTTTCAAACATAATCTCCTCTTACACCCCTAATCCTATTTCATTAACTTAATTTTAGTAATTTACAGAGAGGCCCTTAGTTGGGCAGATAATTAAAAGACATAACATAAGAGAAAAGGCCCAAGTTGAGGCCCATTACAGCAAAGAACATAAAGAAACAAAAATAAGACAAACAGTCTATGGGCCATTCAGCCCATCTTCTCTACACAAACTTTAGAAGAAAAAGTCCAGAATACCCCTGGTTGTGTACCCTATATATTTATCAACACATCTCTAATTTGCTTTATATGCTAAGTATATACTTCCATAATGCTCCTTTTTGTAACCTTTTTCTTTGATGGAGTTGTTTTTGGATTCTCCTCTTGAAGCTAATGTGTTGGCCTTTTTCTTTCTTTAGTTGTTTTAGGATTTCCCCTTTTGGAGTGGTTTTCTTTTCTTCTTTTGTATATGGTTCTTATATTCTGAAATCTGAAATACAGTTATTTGTAATATTGCTTTCTGAATGTTGAACAACTAAATATTTCATCTGGAAATAATCTTTACCCGTATTGGATCAGAAAACATTTTGCAAATTATGAACTCCTTATGCAGATAATGAGTTTTGTTTGGTTATACCTAGACCATCTCTTGGAACATGTTATATCAAGATTATTCGTCTTCTAAAGAAAAAGATCCTTTAGCCTATCTGGAGTTTCATGAACTATTTTTTCAGGCTTCTGTATATTCCTTATTACAAGCAGCAAATGAGATTTCATCCCGAGGAGATGGAAGAGACAGGGATGTTAATGTTTTTGTTCAGCGGAGGTAAGTATCCTTTGTAACTTGGCCTTTCGTACACCAATTCTTATGCAAGTTTATTTATTTTACTTTGGGAGTTCACATTCTTAATCACTAGAAGTTAACAAATTTAAGTTGCTTCTCTATATAAAATCTCGATGACCTGTGGCTATAAATGTTTTAGCTGTAGTTGTCTCCTCTTTTTTGTGGTTGAAAAAAATTTATTGGCATGAGCATTTCTACTTTGTAAAGCTTTCATATGGAGTTGTTTAGGGGTATAACATTTTTTTAAGCTAGTCTTTTGCAAGACATTTTCCTTGAGTTTCTAGTGAGATAGATGAGCTATTACATCATCAATGGGTATGCCTTCTTGAGAGATGAGCTATTACATCATCAATGAGCTATTAACAGCTCTGTCAGTAAGCACATTGGGTGAAGCCCATGGGGGATTTCCAAAATTTCTCACTAAATGAGGAAAGAGTAACTATGGAGTGGAGACAACCATCAACCAACTTTATAAAGCTCAATTTTGATGGGAATTATATAGGCAACTTGACAGCGGCAGGGTTGGCAAGTAGTGATGCATTGACAGCATAATTGTTTACTCTACTCCAGGGTTTAAAATTTGCCAAGCAATTTGGTTTCCATAACTTGGAGGTGGAAGGGGATTCACAAGTGGTCCTTTCGTGGACAAGGTGTTGTGCCCTAATCCCATGGATTCATAGGCACACAATTTGGGAAATAGAAAGTTTAGCAAAGGGGATGAACGTTGTATTTAGATGGGTAAGAAGAACAGCGAGTGGGATGGCAGAATCTTTGGCTAAACAAGGGACTGTTCGACAACAAATATTTTGGGCAAAACTTTAAATTTGTTTCTTGGTGGAGATTTTCCACCTTTCTATAATACCTGTTTGAATTTAATAAGATTTCTATTTATTGATAAAAAAACAGCTCCATCAGTAGGCCTTGTTGCTAGCATCATGAATCTCCTTGAGCTCTAACACCACAGTGGCCATACTCTGCTCCCCCTCTGGTTGCAACCATATATTCATTGCGAAAGATTCGATATCTTGGACCACCATAGTTTGTTGCTCCTTTTCGGAGAACTTCTTACTCAGTTTTCTTCTTTGACTAGTTGATTCCCTCCATGAGCCAAGGTGCATCAAGTGAGACACCCCACAAAATTTGTGTTGCCTGTGAGCCTAGGCATGCCTTTTAAAACACTTTTCAACACCGATGAAAGTAGTAATAGAAGTGGAACTATTGGCTATTTTTAATTGCTATTTTTTTCTTATGTTCTTATTTAGTTTTATGGACTTATTGTTATTAGGCCATGGGCCTATTTTAGTTTTTTGTAGGTCATTTTTTACTGCTATCTTACTTGGGGTACTTAATTTTCACATATTTCCAGCAACTATATATGGGGGAGGGGGGTTGTTATGTCTTACAAGATCCACGATCTGGTTTTCTCTTCACTCCTTTTCTCTTTCTTCTTTTTCTTATTATTCTCTATGATATTATCTTATTTTGACACCACATTTTTATTTATTCTTTGATTAATTATTGCTGAGTTGTTCAACAAGATGCTATTAGAGAAAGATGAAGATTACTCTGATGATAATGATGTTGATAATCATCATATTAGGTTATTATGATTAGATCTGAACCATGAGGTTCCTTTAGTGTTCATTCTTCTTTTTTATATTATAATCATTCATGGAGAGAGAGAGACGAGAGAGAGAAAGAGAAGAAGAGGAAGATATGATTGAGAGAAAAAGAAAACCACTTCTGGCTGCCGCTAGTTCATTATTTATATTAACTTAATATAAAAAGAATGAAGATTACAAGTATGTCCCTGGCGGCACTCCCTAGAAACAAACTAATAAGAAAGAAAGAAAATAACTAACTGACAACCCACTAACAGCAACTATAAAATAACAATTAAATAATCCCCACAACACTCCCCCTCAAGTTGGGCTGAATATGTCTATCATGCCCAGCTTGTCACATAACTCATTGTGCCGCGAGTATGGAAGCCCTTTTGTGAGGACATCAGCGAGTTGTTCCTTGGAGTTGACATAAGGTATGCAAATTTCCCTTTTTTCCAATTTTTCCCTTATGAAGTGTTT